AAATATAATAATATTAGAAATATTTATTCATAACAAAATTACTAAAAAAAAAAACCTTAACAAAAATTAAAATAAAACTGAAAACATAAAATTAAAACTAATTCAAAATATAAAAAATTTAAATATACATAATACATAATTATACAAGTATATAAATAAAACAAAAATAACACTGCTCCAAACCTGTTTGTTAAGATTACAGTATGTTTCACTATTTCACATCAGTAAAATCTTCAATAAAATAAAAAACAATAAAAATATAATTAAAAAAAATGTTTACTGACTTTTTAATTTATAAAATAAAATTAAAAGTTTTACTCACTTGCTGAGTAAAATTATCTTTACACTGTTGCTCCCACTGGCAGTAGCTCAGTTTTCTTTAAAAAAAAAATGCACATACTGTATATGACAGTGTATGCCAATTCCTGTTTTGAGATTGCAACAGCTACTTTGTTCATTGTGTTTAACACATTTCAGAAACAAAATCCTTCCACCACAATGACAATAATATCCTTGTCTTGATATTTATTCTAGCTTTTAATTTAGTCTAAAGTACCATTTATCAGGTTTTCCGCTGCCACTGAAGCTGTATTATCAACTCTGATAATACTGGTAGGTTTAGGAAGGACAGTGAGGAATTCCCCTACCCTATGCATTCACCATGACCTCTCACTCTGTTTTTCCACCCTCCTTTTCTAACGGGAAGGAAAAGGTTAACCCTTTCGCTCTTGCTCAGGCCAGTTGTGTTTATTGCTAAAGTCAGCTGAGCTAAAAGGTGTGATGAGCTGTATTATGTGTCTGTGGTGGTTTACAAATACCTCTAGAGCGCATATGACAAGCACAACTGTGGACTGCGACACGACGCAGATATAAAAGGCAGGTGTATGCCATATTTTGCATTACTGCCACCTTCTGCGCATTGCTTCGCACTTCTGTTCCAAATCTGGCAAGGATGCATTAGCCACCTGGGTGCACGGGCCCAACTTCTCTCCCTAACGGTGAGGGCATTCACTGTCCTCGCTCTTACCAAAAACTTGTGTCATCCTACCCCGGCTATGGCAGAGCGCCACATGCATGCTTCTACATTTCCCCCACACTCTGGGGCAGCAGCTGTTTATGTTTCACTTTTAGCTCAGAGCTGTCATCAGTCCTTTCTGAAGGGCAACGCTATAAAGTTCTAACAGTCAGGGAGCACAAGATTGTTTTCCACGCAGTTGTGGTCGATAAATTGCTGATGCATCGCTGATCAGTCTCCTGGCTGTTATCGCACCCAGTGTTTGCGGGCTCGCATTAATATCATCCCCCGTATGGCAAGTGATGATTTCTCCGAAGACCATCCGTTTCTAGAGTTTCACCTAAAGCGGGGCACAATTTCGTCTTCTATATTTATCTCCCTCTAAGTTTTCAATTGAACAGTCACCAGAAGTCTCACGGCTAGCAGCTGGAGAAAACTGAAGTACAGGCGTCTGTCCGTAAGATCATCAACTAGTCAATTTAGTAAGGTCACCTACACAGTAGAGTTTACACTGCATCAGAGCACATTGAAAATCCATTCATTTCAATGGGGAAGGTGCATTGCAAAGAAAAAGTGGAAAAACATGATGGCTTTTGATATAATATATACATTTTAATCACATCAAAATATATATTTAATATATGCATGCATATATACATATAATGTAAAATATAAAATACTGTAATTTTAATAATATTAATATATTTAATAGTATATATAGTAATATATATAATAGTAATATATATATATATATATATATATATATACACATATATGTAATATTATATGGAAAACAATAGTTTATTAAAAAATTATATAATTAATATTAATTAATAACCAAGATATTAATGTATTTAATAAAATACACACTAATGTTAATTATAATTTATAATATATGTTAATTATACTTTATAATATATTTTATATTTATTCTGTGTATGTATATACATTTTATATTACTGATTGATTGATTGATTAATTAATTAATATGTGTATGTATGTGTGTGTGTATTATTATTATTATTATTAAAAATTATTTATATTTATAATTAATAATAAATAATAACCAAGATATTAATGTATTTAAAAATATATAATTAATGTATATTCTTTTTATACACACACACACACTTATCTGGGATGATCAGCCCTCATTTGAAGTGATACTCGCATGTAAGATAAAATTAAAAATATGGATTTGCCTTCTAATAACATTAATTATAATTCAGGAAGATATCCAGTATAATACAAATGAAAAGAAAAACTTTTCTAGTTTGGTGTTGATGCAGAGGTACTTGAGTCTTGCTGATGAGGCTGTGGGGGTACATAAGACCAAAACGGTTGGGAAACACTGCAGTAATGTGCTCATTTATTGTGACGTAACTGCTTTGGGAATAAAAGATTGTTTAATGTTCAAAGATATTTCCAAACACTCAGCCAGAACACACTCAGTCTGTAAACTTTTACAGTAGTCAACATTTGAAGTGGATCAAAAAGGTTCATCAACGTTGTCCTAAGACAAGAATGCATTTTGGTTTTAGGTTTTAGGACAACTTCGATGAAAGGTTTTGATCCACTTTAAATGTTGACTAGGGTATATGTTTACACTCCACTTGAAAGGAAACAACTTTAAGCCTTATGGGGCCCCTAAAAACAAACCAGAGCGAGAAGCAGCGATATGTGGTTTAGCATAGTTGGAACATCCATTAGAAAGCCAAAAATATGTTGTTGAGGCCTTTTGTTGGCGACTGCAACCGCCTCTTAAATCTGAAATGACATGAGGTTTTCCCAAAACTGTCGGCACATACTGTATGAACGCAATAAAGCAGCTGGTGTGTGCGAGCGTGTGTGTGAAATCTCTCATGTGCTCGAGGAAGTCAAAGCACCCCGCAGCCTAAAATCGTGCTGCTTATACTGATGTATCAGATATCATCCACCAGCAGTGCTAAACAGCACTGAGCTCTCAGGAATTCACATATAATTATGAACACTCGCACTGTTGGACTGATAAAAACAAGTACATATATAAATAGATAAATAATAGACGAATTAGCAACTTTTTCAACACTAAATTGCACAGCGATTGTGCAAATCACTTTTCACTTATTAGAATAAATCATTTAGGGACATTACAACACTTTACAAGATTATTCTGCAACCAGTGTGGTACAATAACACTAAGAGCCTCCCTTGAGAAAAGTATGTTTTTATTGACACTATAAGAACTCCTGTATCATTTTGCTCATGGAGCTATTTTGAGATACAATATTAATACAGAAACTAATCTTTATTGAGATAAGAGCAGTCACTGTAGGCCAGCTTTCCACACATTCCCAAATCCATTCCCCCTAACTTATGGAAAACAAGTTACTGCAGTTTGTCTGCATTCTGCATTTTGCCCTCCTAAAAATAATTTTAAAAAGCCTAAAATTCCATGCAACTTGGTGTTTTTTTTGATATAAATAGTATTTCAGCAGCTATCAAAAAGAAATACATAAATATTAAAAAGTATTAATACTAAAAAAAATTTGAATAATTTGAATAAAACTGAAAATATTTATTTTGTTTTTAAAATATCTGCAATAATTTCAGAGATTCTTATTAGCCACATTTTAAACATTATGAATAAATCAAGAACGTTTTTCTACTTCAAAAATTTGTTAAATTCAGATTGTTACTTGTGTTTCTTTGTGATTATTTGCGAAATTTACGAAACTTGTTTTATTTTCAGTGTATTAAGGAAAATTTTGCAGTGCCAATGTTTAGTTGAGGGCTTTTGATGATAAATTTCATTAAGCAGAAAGTGTTTTCTCAAAAATCTGAAAAAATAAAAATAAAAAAACATCATATTTTGTATATATACAACATATATATTATTAACAGATCTCTTTATAGATTTATAGCATTAAAGGATTATTCAAAGGATCAGTAGCCCCTAAAATATCCAAACTAAACTGGAATTAGTGGTCTCAGTTGAAAGGAAAAAAAAAGAAAGAAACCGTTTCCAAGAAGAAAAACTTTTGCAAGCTGTAAATCAAAGACTGCGGCTAAAGCCACTGGGAAGCCAGGTGCTTTATGACGTCCCAGAGGCTGCTCCGTCCTAATGCATTTTATTAGAAAGCAAAAAAAAAATTGTTCCTAACAGTATTTGCAAATCAACAGGCCAATAAAACTAGCTGAGATAGACCACTTTGCAAATAAAACTCAGATCCATTTATCTGGATTGATGTGCATTAATAATCCTTTTAAAGCAAGTGAATTAGACGCTATTCAGGAGTCACTCACCATCTCTATAAGGAAAACCATTCCAATGCATTAATAAAAGGAAGAATAACTCAGTCTTTGCTGTTAAGTGATTCTGTCATGTACTGACGCCATTACAGGCATTTTGCACACATACAGCTATCGATCAATGGCTTTCAATGGCTCTGAGCTTGAAAGAGGATGATGGAAACGTGGGGGGTTCTGTTCGAAACACAACAAAAGATGCACAAATAGATCAGCGGGAGAGGAAACTCTGATATAGCCCAGTGTCAAAGGTCCAAATGAAATCAGGTGGTTGGAATCAATGGTGGTCTGTGTTTGAATGCTCCAGAGGACAGAGCAGGAAGTGTGAATGGGAGAAAAACATGCCTTTATGAATGATGTCATTGAAACGGGACGGAGCGAGATGCCACTCTCGGAGAAGATGGCTTTTACAGTAATAGATGAGAATTCAATGCACTATTTCAGCTCTAATAAAAACGCCGCACTCCAAAAGACAGGAGAGCGAAATGCACACAATGCACCGCAGGAGAACATCTATCTCTCTCCAGTCGCGCCAAATGACACCAACATATGAAATGTGTAAAACATGTGAGAACTACAATTCTCATGCTCGCTCTAATAAAGAAAATATTAAACATCATTCTCTCTCAACCTTAGTCAAACACTCTCCTGCCTCTAGCACATTATTTTAATTTGACTGGTTATACTCATGCATATATTTATATATTTAGGGGGGGGGGTATGAATTGGTCGTGGGTATTTTTTTTTTCCTACTTTGATCTCAAACAGAGTTCAAATAAAATATTTTCAACCTTTGTCTATGTTGAGAAAGTACTCAGAAATAGAAGTGTTCGCGTTTCCCTCAGTGACGCTGAGTACATTTATTTGGATTATCAGCATTCCACTAGAGATAAGAACAAAGGCACTTGGAGGTTTACAGTCTTGTTCAAGGTTTTTAAATTCAGAATTAATAATAAGCTGCTGCTAATTTGACCCTGCTTTTGATCCTGGTGAAGTAATTATTTTTGTTCTTATGAATAACTATGTCTGTCATTTGCATGCGATAATAATAATAGCAAAAAACATATATATTATATATATAAAGAAAAAGAAAAGTTACCTATGTTTTTTTCTAAAGCAACATTGTTCTGCCAGTTCAAAAGTCACTGCAATATATGGGTGGCTGTCAGGGCATTGGTGTGCAGTTGCTAAGGTGTTGCTCAATACTCATTGGTCAAATTCAAAAGATCCCACCCACAAATCACATTATGATATTCTGGTTTATAGAATTGGATTGGGTCCCTCCTGCAATGGAAATCTAGCAGATTTTTTTCCAGGAATTCAAATCAAACTGAAGGCTTTTAAGACATTTTTGAGATGTGAACAAATAAAATTACTGTTAATGACTGTAAAAACAATGATTTAAACAACATTACGGACCAAATAATACAAATTAATATGCGATTCTTGTTTTTTTTTCTTCACAATTGAATATCTCTTAAAATGATAATTATGACTTTTCTTATACCATTTAGGATATTTAAGAGTTTTTATGACTTTTTAAGGACCCACATACACCCTGTTTGATGAACTGCCAGGCAGGGTCATTATAGTTAAGTAAAACTAAAACCATAAAAAAAAAATCTTTACTTGAAATAAAATAAACATAAAATATAAACAACTTTTTTTTATTTCAGCTTATTTCAACAATACTCATTTTAATTAACGTGATGTACTAAAATAACTAAAACTGAAATAAACAATTATGAAAACATATATTAAAAAATGACTAAAAGCGACAAAACAAAACAAATTACTAAAACTTTAACTAAAATGGAAAATATTAAAAATAAAAACTGATTCAAATTTGTAATACAAACTATAACAATATCTCAGTGATACTAAAATAACATCTAGCTCACTTCTCCTCAATAAGTCATACAATTTCAAGTACTGTACCACTCGTGTGTAGTACAAACTGTGTGGGACAAGTTACATGCAACAGTTTTAATGCTAAATATTCCTGATTTTTATAAAAAAAAATGTATTAATATTTTTTATCTAAAATTTTGTTCAAGCCATTTTAAATGTTGCAGATATATAGACATGAGTATAAGGTATAAGTCAAGGGCAGATTTTCATCAAGTCATTTGTCATTTGGCGACATCTATTTAAGTGCGTGACAAGTGCTGACATGCACACCAAAGGACGACTTCATCACATTTGTAAACATCAGATCATCGCTTCTTTTTTGGAGACTGGCATTTTCAAGTCTGTGTTTTCTCGTAAATCAAATCAACGTCAGTTCCAACATATCATGCCACGTCTCTCTCCAAGGCCAGGGTGACATGAAAACAGCACGGCCTGTGATGTGAGCACCAGGCTACAGGTGACCGTTAAGTGCCTGCACACATGTAAATCAAGCAAATCTTCCCCTACCTCCAGATCCCAGGAGAGGAGTTTGACCGCTGTGCCTAGCGGTAGAAGAGCAGCACAGCGAGGTCATTTGGATGCACAGCCGTCTAACAGCAATAACAGGCCCACGTTCCTCCGAGAGCCATCAGGATCAGCAAAGGCTTAGCGGTGGAAGCCTGTAACAACACAGCTCTGTCTCTGTGCATCTAAGAAGAGCGAAGAACAATGTAGCCTCATATTGCTTCACCTTGAACACACCAGACCCCAGCAGACTACAGGCTGATGAATAATTCTCATTTGAGCCTGCATTTTTTATTTTGCACAGATACAAGAGTATCTCATTAACTGTCAACAGACAAACAACATGTGTAAGATCTGAAAATCCAAATGAGACCTGTAGAAAAATGGGCATTTGAATTATTAGTGCTATGGTTGGCATCAAAAACGATGCATTAGAATGGAAGACAATTTTCTAAATAGCTTTATGCAAGTCAAGAAGCATCGCAATTGGTTTACAATCTTCCTTTTGCTCAGTTCACTTCCCTCATTTAGGGCGACTGAGTCATTTTATTAGTGATTAGACCAAAAGAGCTCCGGGTCCTGCAGTATTGAACCTCAGATTGTAATTTGCTCGTAATGTGTAGAAGGGGAATATGCAAATAAAGTCGGAGTATTTTGTGTTTGCAGTTTTGCCCCTGGGCAGCTTGTCCCGTGACACAAATCATCAATTAAGATCCCAGCAGGGATCTCGGCATTTAAATTAGCCCCATCCAACAACTTTTATCTTCCAGACAAAACATTATAATGTGGAGAAGGGGAATATGCAAATAAAGTCGGAGTATTTTGTGTTTGCAGTTTTGCCCCTGGGCAGCTTGTCCCGTGACACAAATCATCAATTAAGATCCCAGCAGGGATCTCGGCATTTAAATTAGCCCCATCCAACAACTTTTATCTTCCAGACAAAACATTACAGCCCAGTGATCGCTTGCACCGCAGAAATAAAACAGCTGATTAAATGAGATTTGACTTTGGGCGGAAAATGGACATGCAATGTCACTCTTATGTTGTCTAATGTATGTTTAACAGATGATACAGCCAGTTTGTGTGTCATAATATTTCTATATTTCACACTAAAGAAATTCAAATCTGCACTTTGTTGAGGCTTGTACTGGAAAGACTAAGTTGATCACATTTAAGTAGAGGTTGTGTGTTAAGAAAGTGTTTTATTAAAATGCATTCAGAATTTAGCATTTAGGCCTAGCTTTTTTTCTGAATAGTACTGTGAAAGGTGTTAATGTATACTTCAGGTACTATTAAATTAAGTCAGTCAGAAAAAGGATTTGAGACAATTTTCTCACCCCGTTGTTGCAGAGAATGGAACTCAACATCGCAAATGATCTAGCCTAATTAATTGATCAATTATGAAACAGTGCTAACTTGCAGTTATTCTAATATAAAGCATGTCTGAAGGATTATTTCGGATTTCCAGAAAGTGTAATAAATATAACTTTGTACAAATTAATTTGTATGTTATAAGCTTGCAAACAGGTGTAAACTGCAAACAACCCTGACGTCTTAACAAAATGTTGAAAGTCTAGTCACCAGTTTCTTAATTTACAAAGACCTTTACAATGTTCCCTGTTTTTCAGCCTCAGCTTTGCTATTTTATGAAGAGAATATAAATTTACAGGGAAAAAAGGTTGTTTAATGCCTCAAACAATAGTGAAAGTCACTAAACGTTTACAAAGGAACAAGTCTATATCCAATGACGAACATAACCATTGACAATACGTTGTAATGTTGTGTCTGCAAGTCAAAACGGAACAATCAGCTTCATCTTTTACAAATCAGAGGACAAATCTAAGAATTCACAAGAGAGTAATAAATACCACTTGATTTGCCAGCCAAATTATAAAAAACAGAGAGTAAATAAGACATAGCACCAGCAAAGAGCCATTAAACTGACAGCTTTTATAAAGTAATAGATGAACTATGATAACTGTAGAAACTGTCAAACATGCTTCTAATAGTATTTCTAATACTTTTTACATGTGTTTATTATGGTCCTTTACCTACAAGCAACCAGAAGGGAAATTAGGAGTTTTGGGGGAGGATGTCCACAAGCATCACAAGAAGAAAGAACAATATAAAAAGATGGGGGACCTTAAAAGTACATAAACGTTCTTTTAAACAACAATTTAAACCAAAAAGTTAGAATACAAGTTATTCAGAGTAGCCTACGTAGTTTCAACGGTGGCTAAATGGACCCTTTTCACAAGACTGTGATGACGCATTTAAAGGTCAGCAGCATGGTAAATCCTCGAAAGTTTTTCATATTTGTATTTTTTTTTTAATGTATGTACATTTATAACATTATTCTTTGTATTCAAATAACCTTTTCATCAAATCACCTTTGCATCAAATTATAAAAAAAAACAGTTAACGCTAATGCGAGAGTGTTTCTAATGCAGCGTCTATGGGAGGGATGGTACATTTGACAACGTTCTCTCTTCTGACTGCCGTTATCAGTCTCTCTCAATTTTTTTTCCTTTTATCGAAAGTCATGAAAACACTATCGTGGAGTTTTTCTTTTGCGATTTGAGCAAATGGGAATGCAAAAAATATATTTGTGGTACTCTCTCATTCACTGCTCAAGTTAAACCCAACTATGACGACTTCCGCTGCTGAGAAACCCGGAAATGTGAAAAAGGTCCATTGTCGCGAAAAGAATAGCGAAGCGGTAACCATAACAACAGTACGCTGCTCAAACACAGTTATTAGTGCCAGTATCGTACGGTTCATAAACAAAACGTAAAACATATTATTGTTCATTAAAAGTTTATTATAGTTTTACATATCAAAAAACAATTTAAAAATACGTTTAAAATGTTGTCATTGGCGACAAAAAAAAATTCGCGACCCCAAATTTTCCTACATTCTCAAAAAGTTGACTCCGCGTAAAGTCATTGTAAGGCAACCATTAATTTACATAATGCAGGCAAACTGTGTTTTTATTTCCTTAAACACTACTCTGATAATATGCTTTAATCTCATGTCAAACTCGCACAAGATCTGAATGCCAGATAAACATTTACTAAGCAACATCTTGTTTCAAAACTGACCAGTCATAAACGAACAGTAAAATACAAATATTTAAACTTACTAAAAGCCAACAAGACATAAGTATAACTCGAAACAAAACACTGGCGATTTCAAAACACATCCCAATTAAAATTCTAAATGTGAATTTAGATGCGCAGCCTATATTTTGCGCGTTATGAATATGACGAATCAGTCATGTATCCCTACGGGGGGGAAAACAACAACAATAAAATGCCCTTTAAACCCCAACAAAAATGTCGACACAAAATTTCCACCACATTTCACAAGTCCAAACGCATCATCCACCAAACAAAATCATCCAGAAAGACTCTTATGCGCTCCCCAAACTGCACGGCATCTTCTCCCGTCTTTCCTCTCTTCCTCCCTCCTTCTATCGCACTCGTTCTCTTCCTCCTCCTCCCTCCCGCGCGCTCTCTCTCTCTCTCTCTCTCTCTCTTTCCCTCACTTTCTCTCTCCCTCTCTCTCTGTCTATCATTCTCTCCCCTCAGCCCTCGGCCAGTCTGTTTGAATAATGTCCTGCCTTTTGTAATGAGAGCGAGAGAGGAAAAAAACACGCTGGAGTGTTCGCCCGCTCCGCGCTCTGACATTGAAAATGAATGACAGCTTACCTGAATGCCAATCTTCATCAGACTGACACCAGGCTGACAACACAGCCTATACTCCCCTACACCAGCCGTGACGTCTGCCATATCAGACCCCTCCCACCATCTCCCCCCTCCTCTCTCTCTCTCTCCCCGTACCCCTCGCTGCCGAGTGTACACCTCCGCGGTTCCTCTTCCACTGGCGTTATTCCGTGCCGTACCGAACACCCTGGGCCCTGCACGCGCATCTCCGGTTCATTAGCGGCGGTGCCGGGCGCTGGCCCCCTATCGGCATTAAACGAGACCTACAATCGGCTGCAGGTCGCCTTGGATGTTCGCCTGGTCGGAAAGCAGAGGAAACCTATTTATTTGTGCCACAAGAAACCAGAAAATGTGCCACTTGGTCAAATCCCAAATGTATGTTTAGTTAGTTATATAGAAACTTAACCCATAGGCTACAAGACTAATCTAGATCAAATATGCTAGGGGTATTATTTTTTTAGGACCCCAATATAAATTTAAAACGACTTGTACATTTTCCTGTATAAGGCCCACACAATATTACTAAAACTAAAACAACAGGTTATTAACATGAATTGTCTTTTATACTGTCATTGTACTGTAGCCAAATAAAAATATGATATAAATTATATGAATATAAATATATACATGTAAGTACATGTAAATATTTTTTAACTATATGCTGTATGTGTGTATTCATATATACATAAATTAAATATAAAATAAACTTATTTTATGCGATTAATCGCTATTAATTATTTGACAGCACTAGAAAAAATATATTCAAATGAAGATAGTAATAATAATGGATGTAGGCCTGCATTTGCACACCACAGACAGATAGATATAACTTAAATGATTTATACGCACTACGTATGCTGTGTTCACATAAACTACAACTCCCAGCACACTGTTCGCTAGATACTGCAACCTGATTGGTCTATTCGCGACACAGGAAGTGTGGAGGTAAACAGAAGAGATGGTGTTTCCATGGAAATATTTTATACTTTCTGCAGCGTTTATCTTCTTGTCGCAAATCTGTATTTTTTTTAGAACTACGCAGTTGGTTCCAGCATTCGGTTGTTTTATGAGGTAAATATACAAACTGTTTAGTGTTTAGAGTAGCCGTTAAAGGTCTACAAGGGATTAGTTTGTTGGCTTAAGCATTCATTTTTGATGAACTGCACGCTTCCCATCGTTTACTTCCTAATTATGCCAGTTGAATTGAGTTAAAAAAAAACAGTAAATGTCTAGGAATAGCAGCCAGACGAAGATACACGCGCCACATGGTTTGCGTTCATGACATCAGCTTGATATATTTACAGTGGATTTAGCGCATGCATCCATCATATCACGCTTCCTAAACAAGACATTCTCTCGTCCAGCTACAGGCAGTGTGAGAGGCGAGGATGGCCGATGTGGTGTTAGGGGTTGGGACAGGTGTGTTTATCATCGCTTTAATCTGGATAGTGACTCTCGCGCTCACTATCGTTCTGTCGCGCGCAACCGGCCCAACAAAGTAAGAACATACTTTCAGGTTTTCGACACATGCTCTGTCTGTAGTAGCTCTATTGTATCATGAATAATCACGATGTTATCGCCTCACCAGGTTAGGAATCATTCCTTTATTTCTTCTGGCGCTCACCGTCACACTGGTTTTAGTGTTCTTCCCGCGCGCCCCTGAAGTTCCTTCCCCTGAGAAAGCAGTTCAGGTGAGTGCAGTAATATTTGCATAATGTGCTTTAATATAAATATAAAGGAATTGTCCTATCCTTGCCAAATGTACAGACAGACAAACATATGAAAAGCTAATGTACAAGTGATTTGATAAGTATTGTTTTGCTTTATTCAATTCATGCTTGAAAAGAGAGTTAGGTCCACTGTACAGCTCTGTGTGTGAGTTATATTTGACAAAGACGTGCTGGTTTATCTCTCCTCAACAGCAGAGAGTACAAACACAACAGCTTTTTCCCAAAGTCTGTCTTTGCCAAAACCAGCGCTTTGAGCTGCCAACTCACCCTCGTCTGCACAAACAAAACCCAAACCATTTACCTTTCAGTCTTCAATAACACAACAGAAACATGTTGACTGAATCAAATGTTCCCCTGCCTTCAACCTAAAATTATTAGATTACCCACTGTTACATTTGGTTTGATACAGATTTGAGATCTCACAAATTGCATAGTGTACAGTAGTCAACATTTGAAGTGGATCAAAAAAAGTTCATCAAAGTTGGCCTAAGACAAGAACACATTTTGGTTTTAGGACAACTTTGATAAAAGGTTTTGATCCACTTCAAATGTTGACTAGTGTAGTTCTTTTAATATCTTGCAACAGATGTTCTCAGATTTACAACTCAATTTTTTGTTATCAGCAAGAGGTGTTAGGAAGACGTGCAAGTTTTTGATGTTAAAACACCTTTTAGAAATTGATATCATGTAGTTTAGTGCATGAAAGTTAGCTTTAAACAATTTAGGAATGAATATAAGATCTGATAGTGGAACAACAGAAAGATAAATAGCAAAAACAAAACCGCATGCAAGTCTCTCATTACTATAAGCATGCATGTAGTACCGTACATTGTGCAATAGACTCTCATTTGTGCATAGTGCCAAATCCATGTTACACCCATTGCTGATTTGCTTGCAGCGGGTATGACTAGATAACAGTTTTTTTTCTTGATAGGCGACAGTGTATTGTATGAGAAATGGGTAACCCCTCGCTGTTGTACAAAGGAATAATATCACAGTGCCAATTAGGCCGGCCCCAAACAGGAGCTCACTGCCGTGCATTTGATGCCACATTAATAAAACATGGCCTCGGCTCTGTGCTTTGCTAGCCGGCTAATTGGCAAATTAGAAAGTGAGAGGAGTTAAACGAGAGAACACTGCATTCGCCTGAGACAGAGCCCCCTCCCACATACACATGCACAGACACACACAAAGACATCTCTCTGTCTGAAGTTTAATGTAGGTTGTGGCCTCTCCCATGGTTTAGGCCTCGTACTCTAGTTGAGGTCTGTAGGGACGTAGGGTGCTGTTAGTATTCAACACTATCACCCTGTTCAGCTTTAATTCATGGAAGAAAAACAGACAGCAGAATAAGAAATAATGGCAAGAAAGAAGTGTGTGTTTTTCTGACATATGATAAAATAAAGGTAAATCCTGCGATATAAATAAAAACAAAATCATATAATTTATATTAAATATAAACTATCTAGTTTACATAACTTAAATATTTTATATTTGTAGGTATTATATATATATATATATATATATATATTTGTGTACATAATATATGTGTGTGTACTACGGTGTATATTTATTATGTATATACAACTACACACGCATGTATATATTTAAGAAAAATGTTATGATAATATATTAAATATATTGATAATACAAATTATATGAATATGAATATATACGTACATAAATATACACACACACTGTATCTATTTTAATATATTTAAACATGACACAAATTCCTGTGATGGTAAAGCCATTACTTCAGTCTTCAGTGTGACACGATGCTTCTGAAATGATTCTAATTTTCTGATTAGCTTTTATTTGAAATACAAATATTTTATAACATTATAAATGTCTTCACATTATTATGTCCTTGCTGAATGAAATGCGTTAATAAAAAAACGTTTGGCGTGTATATATATATATATATATATATATATACACATACACACACATACACACTTCATTAGGTCTAGTCTATCTGGTCTAGTGAGTTTGCATTTCTTGAAGTTCTTAAAAGAACCCTGCTGACCTCTAGTGGAAAAAAGCATAACATGCTGAATGGATTTCATGTTAATTAGATATTAATGGAAACATCAAAGCACTCATGGCTTTAATTACTTTCCAGTAACTGTATAATATGTTAAATAATTCACGCCGTAAGCCTGTGATGTTATTTTTTTTTCAGAAAGTGGATATGTTCTTCATCGGCCGCTACGTGCTTCTGTCCTTGGTGAGCGTGGTGTTCTTGGCAGCCCTGTTCATGTTGCTGCCCTTACATTTCCTGGAGCCCATTTATGCCAAGCCCCTGAGAACACACTAGACCACGAGGCTTCATGTGCCAAACTCCTACAGATATCCCAAAGCGGGGCAGCCAACCTGGCAGCGCTGTCAATCAACGAGCCCTGCTTGAGATGAGAGGACAGCAGAAGGTTCCAGGGCTTTTGTCTTCCGGTCCAAATCAGAGATGTCCACATCTCTCTGAGAGCGCAGCACAGAGGGGTCTGAATGCAGCATGTGCAGTGCTAACGTTTTCAGAAGGGTGTGGTTGGGTAAAGTTTTGTATGTTAGATATGTAATTGGAAAATTAAGTTTGTTTTTCTGAGCCT